CTTGAGCCCAGGAGTTTGAGGCTGCTGTGAGCTAGGCTGATGCCACGGCACTCTAGCCCAGGCAACAGAGTGAGACTCTATCTCAAAAAAAAAAAGGAAAATTTTATGTTTTCTATGTATATATTTGCCACAATTTAAAAAAAATCAATAACATATCAAAACCAAACCATTGAATTGTATGCTTTAAACAAGTAAATGTATGGTACATGAATTGTATCTCAACCAAGCTATTGTCAGAAGTTTGTCTCCAGTCGGGCGTGGTGGTGCACGCCTACGCTCCCAGCTACTCGGGAGGCTGAGGCGGGAGGATCGCTGGGGCCCAGGAGTCTGAGGCTGTGGTGAGCTATGATCGTGCCTGTGAACAGCCACCGCACTCCAGCCTGGGCAGCACTGTGAGACCCTGTCTCAAAAAATTTTTTCTTTTCTCTTTTTTCCCCTAAGTTTAACCTTTTAGGAACCATTCTCACTTAATGATAAAGAATTATTTTTCTGAAGTTTAGCAATTCCCTTCCATTTCATTTTAGATACATGAAAATAGATTTATCTTTGGTTAAATCCAAGTAAAATTAAATTTGATTTTTATTTTAAAAATGCATGTAGAATATGACCCATTTAAAAAAAGCTATTATTACTGTGCATATATCTGTTGGGATAGAGTCTGGCATTAGTGCTCACTGAATGCTGGCGGAGGGTTACCTCGGATGGAAGGAATGTTGGGCCTTACTTGCGCCTCACTCTGATTTTTCAGAAGGCGGCCGTGGCAGGGTCTGAGTGGCACGTGTGTACATGGCCAGAAAAGGGCCGTTAGTGTTGGGATTAAAATCTCAAGCAGACCCTCTAGTTGTGACGGTGGGCAAGATCTTTCGTTTTACCTTCTGCAAAACAGGGGTAAGAACAGCACCTGCCTCGCCGGGTGGTCCCATGGATTAAATGATACGATCCACGAAAAGTGCTCAGTTCCAACTGGTGCTCAACTAGCGGGAGAGAGCAACTGGGCCGTACCACTGAGCCTATCGGGGTCTCAAGGCGGGTCTCTGAGACGCAGGGCTGTGGGCTTCCTGGCAGGGCTACCCACCCCCAAGCGCAGACAGCAAACCCCTTGGCTGCAGGAAAAGACGGTCCAACCCCGGGCATGCAGGCCTGAAGGAAGAGCTCGCTGCTGTAGGGGCTGGGCCCAGACAGGGCTCCCCTCGCTTTCTCCCTGGTCATGCCTGAGCCAGGGAGAATGGCAGACCCTCCCCCGATCGGAGCAGCAGTGTGACTCGTGTGCCTGCCCGTCCTCCGAGCCCGCTGGCCTGCAGTTGAACCCTCACTCAGACAATCTCATTACACCCACTCCGGCTGCCTGGGCGCGCGCGAGGCAGACACACATTTCATCTCGTCTCTGCGGGAGTCGTGATGGGTTAGACAGCATTTTATTTTACTGCCTTCCACAGGGCAGCTTTCGGGGCCTGGCAGCGTGAGAGGAAAAAAGGCACAAATGGGTCTCCGGAGGCCCTGCGGCGAGAGGGAGCCAGGCAAGGGGTCCGAGTGGCCCCCCGCATGCACTGCC